AGCTTGGCCTGTCCAGATTGGTCAAACAGGACCTGGTTGTCGTCGTCGCGGGCCACGGGGTTGGCGATCACACAATAGTGACGAGGAGGCACCATGACCATGCGCACCGGAGTGAAAAGCACTCTGGGGGGGAAAAGGAGAAGTTGATGTTATGAAGTTTTGAGCTCCTCCCGAGGAGCCTGAATGTCAGAGGACTTCCTGCTGAAGCCGGAGCGCGGCTTCCTCTGACCTCTCGTTGTCCTGGCGGATGTAGGTGAGCGGTCCGATCTCCACCCGGGCGATGTTGGTGTTTTGGTCCAGGACGTGGATGTAGTGATGCGGAGGGATCCGGATGATCGATGCCTCCATCAGCCCCTCCATCTCCGGCCCGCGGTTTCCGGCCTTCTTAGACATGATGTCAGCAAATTACTGCAGATGATGGCATAGAGAGGGCGGGGCTTATCAGGAAAAGAGAAAAGCTGAGAATAACCTTAAAAAACTATTTTTATCACGTTTGATTTCAAATGAAGAAAAACAGAACGACTCTGAGGGAAGAGTTCTTCACGCTGGTTCAGCTTTTTACTGACATCTGTCAGCATCTCCTGTTTATACAGCCAATCAATACAAGCCGCCTGATGACAGTTATTGATTATTGAACACAGACCAAAGTCTCTGTAAACGACTGGCTGACACCTCCACAGCAGAGCACGAGTCTCTGCTGGGTTCAGGTTCACCTGTCGGGTTAGTCTGCTGCCTTTTACTCATTTTAACTTTATCTCCATATTTCCATAAACTCCAGGTCTGTAAAGACTCTGGCGACGTGTTTATGAGCCACGACCATAAAGACGAAACCTCCGTCCTCTGCTGAATGCACCACAACCCTGAAGAACAAACACGACACACAGTGAGTCTGAGCGCGCTGGCGTCAGGATATCAGCCCAATAACATTTGCATGCACTTTGCTCACAGTCATGGTGTCATATGACCTGAAAAACAAGCTCGACCTGAATCAGCCGATCATCAATAATCACAAAGAAAACAATAAAGTCGATGTGCAAACACTCTGATGACCCACAGAGGAGGCGTGGATGTGGAGCCGCCGAGCACAGGGCGTGTTTCTGCAAACAGCTCAGGGCCTCGCGTTAAACCACAAAACCTCACACTCAGGTTCCTGAGCCACACAGGTAGACGCTCCAAACTGCGCTGAGCTCTGTTCAGTCCGCAGGTTTCTACGCTCTGCACGAGGCTGCGTCCTGTTCAGGCACAGCCAATAAAAGAGGAAACGTGAAACTGGAAGCAGGTAACAGGAAGCGCTGCAGGTGTGACTGTGGTGAAAACGGCTCAGGTTCAGTCGCTGAAAGCTGCTCCTTCACCCGATTCTTCATCCAATCAGCTTAAACCAACAATAACCCCGACCACGTGACCTCATCTGCAGCTTTGTCAGCGATCCAAACCGGTTATTACGC